AGTAACCAACCAGGGTACCCTAGCAACTGCCTAGCAACCACCCAAATTACCCTAGCAACCGCCTAGCAACCACCTAGCAATGGCCTAGTAATGCCTTAGTAAGGGCCTAGCGACCACTCAGGACACCCTAGCAACCGCCTAGCAACGCCTTAGCAACCACTCAGAATACCTTAGCAACCACCTAGCAACACCTTAGCAACCACCTAGCAACCACTTGGGACACCTTAGCAACCGCCTAGCAACACCTTAGCAACCACCTAGCAACCACTCAGAACACCCTAGCAACTGCCTAGCAACGCCTTAGCAACCACCTAGCAACCACTCAGGACACCCTAGCAACCACCTAGCAACACCTTAGCAACCACCTAGCCACCACTCAGGACACCCTAGCAACCACCTAGCAACGCCTTAGCAACCACTCAGAATACCCTAGCAACCATCTAGCAAACACTTAGGACACCTTAGCAACCACCTAGCAACACCTTAGCAACCACCTAGCAACCACTCAGAACACCCAAGCAACCGCCTAGCAACACCTTAGCAACCACCTAGCAACCACTTAGGACACCCTAGCAACCACCTAGCAACACCTTAGCAGCCACCTAGCAACACCTTAGCAACCACCTAGCAACCACTTAGGACACCTTAGCAACCACCTAGCAACACCTTAGCAACCACCTAGCAACCACTCAGAACACCCTAGCAACCGCCTAGCAACACCTTAGCAACCACCTAGCAACCACTCAGGACACCCTAGCAACCGCCTAGCAACACCTTAGCAACCACCTAGCAACCACTCAGGACACCCTAGCAACCACCTAGCAACGCCTTAGCAACCACTCTGAATACCCTAGCAACCACCTAGCAACCACTTAGGACACCTTAGCAACCACCTAGCAACACCTTAGCAACCACTCAGAACACCCTAGCAACCGCCAAGCAACACCTTAGCAACCACCTAGCAACCACTCAGAATACCCTAGCGACCACCTTGCAACACCTTAGTAACCACTTAGCAACTAGTCAGAACACCTTAGCAACTGCCTAGCACCACCTTAGCAACCACCTAGCAACCACTCAAAACACCCTAGCAAACGTCTAGCAACACCTTAGCAACCACCTAGCAACTAGTCAGACCACTTTAGCAACTGCCTTGCACCACCTCAACAACCACCTAGCAACCACTTAAAACACCCTAGCAACCGCCTAGTAAAATGCTAATTCATGCTAGAATCATGCTAACAACATGCTAATTCATGCTAGAATTATGCTAATAACATGCTAATTTATGCTAGAATTATGCTAACAACATGCTAATTCATGCTAGAATCATGCTAGTAACATGCTAATTCATGCTAGAATCATGCTAACAACATGCTAATTCATGTAAGAATCATGCTACTAACATGCTAATTCATGCTAGAATTATCCTAGTAGCATGCTAATTCATGCTAGAATCATGCTAGTAACATGCTAATTCATGCTAGAATCACGCTAACAACATGCTAATTCATGCTAGAATCATGCTAGTAACATACTAATTCATGCTAGAATCATGCTAACAACATGCTAATTCATGTAAGAATCATGCTACTAACATGCTAATTCATGCTAGTAATATGTTAACTCAAGCTAAAATCATACTAACATTCTATTTACACTTTAAAACCACTTCAAACTTTCAGATTCGGCTTTTCAAGCCACCATAAAGTTTGTCCTCAAACTTTAATATCTAGTTAATTTTTAAACCATTTTAGGGACAAAATTATTAGCCCCTTTAAACTATTTTTTTTCAATAGTCTACAAAACTTGCCGAATAACCCCTGCCTAGTTAACCTATTTAACCTAGTTAAGCCTTTAAATGTCACTTTAAGCTGTGTAAAAGTGTCTTGAAAAACATCTAGTAAAATATTATTTACTGTCATCACGGCAAAGATAAAATAAATCAGTTATTAGAAATGAGTTATTAAAACTATTATGATTAGAAATGTGCTGAAAAAAAATCTGCTCTACATTAAACTTACAATCAACTGTATGAAATCAAATTACAAATACAAGAGAGATTAACTGAAAAAAAAGAACAGGAAGTGCTATGCAGTCCAAGGTGTGGGAAAACACTGCCTTCCATCTAAACATTGAAAATTTGAATTTCCACACGGACATTATTGTATTGTTCAACAGATTTGAATAAACAAGGCCAATCCAATGCAGCATTTTTAGAAAGACTAAAACTTAAAAAAATAAAATAAATAAAAATCAAACACTGAACTACACAAAAGGTTTCTGCAGGTATCTTCAAATCAGATTTAGTGCTTTAAATGCCTTTACCTATTCGTAATGTCATCCATGAGCCACATGACTAACCATGCGCAACAGACACATGAACAGCCCCTCTTTGAATTTTTTTTCTTTTTAAATATTTCCTAAAATTTTCCTGTTTTTTATTTTTTTCTCGATAGTCTACTGAACAAACTATTGTTGTACAATAACTTGCCTAATTCCCCTAACCTGCCTAGTTAATCTGACTAACCCAGTTAAGCCTTTAAATGTCACTTTAAACTAGAAGTGTATTAAAAAAATAGCAGGTAAAATATTATTTACTGTCATCAAGGCAAAAGATAAAATAAATTAGTCATTAGAGATGAGTTATTAAAACTACTATGATTAAAATTGTGTTTAATAAATCCTCTCTCTGTTAAACAGAAATTGGGGAAAAAATAAAAAGGGGGGTAATAATTTTGACTTACGTACACGTTTAAAAAATATATATTCAGCTAATTATCAAGTTTCACAATGACAGAATAATAAAACTATTTTACTCTGAGTTGGATTAGAAATGGCCCACACATGGCAAAAAAATGCTTTAAACTATCACACACCACACACGCACCTTCACGCTGCAAAGAAAATTAATGAATGAAAAACCACATTATGTGCCCTAATCTCTAACCAGAAGTGTAACAAGTAAACCATTTCTAAAGTAACTGACTTTTTATACCGCAGCGACAACTCACGCAGGAAGCAAAGCCCACTGTTCACTGCTATCTGACAGATCTGATATAAACAGCATAGTGCACAGCGGCAAAGCGAAAACCACTGCTGACCTTGAAGAACATTAGTGCACACCTGAATCAACTAAACAAACCTTTAGAGTCCTGCCAAACATAAAATCTAAATAAGCCCTCCAAAATCTCAGTACTCAATGTTGCATTTTGCTTAAGAGCCTTCAACTAGCTATTAAAATTTACAAGAATTGCAATTGTTTTTATTATTTATAAGCAAAAAAACTCAAGCATGTGGTTAAGTGGGGCAAGCCTGGTGCGTGCAGTCAGGCAATTAAAAGGGTACGCCTTGACCAGGGTCAAGAGTTTTTAAGAGTTTTTAAGACCGTTAAGAATTACATTCAAGACCTACATCACAATATCAAAAACATGCATACACAAAAAGAAAATGCAAAAAATAAAATAAAATAAAAATAAGTGGCTAAATAAATGTATTCAAATTGAACATTATTTAAGACAGGTTAGATCCATTATTGAATTACAGGAACACCAACACGTGTGCATGCATGCTACATTTTTCTGAGCTGTCCTACTTTGGCCAGAATCTCCTCCTTAATGTTCTTGAGATGATCTGGTTTCTCATTGTCGGCCCTCAAAGCATGTGCTGTATGTGCCACAGGCATATCACCCTGGAGCCCAAGACCGGTTACTCACTGAGGCCCCGTTTCCACTAGTGCGTTTTAGTTTTAAAACAGCGTTTTAGATCAAAAGCGATCCGTGTCCACACTAGTGTTTTAACTAGCGTTGCTGAACATATCAGGACATTGTCCTGTGGCTGCTGTTGCATCATGTAATGCTTTTTTAGCTAATTGTGCATATATTTAATGTCTATTGAAACATGTATAGCCCTAGATAATATAGCATCATCGTCCTAGTTTTTAACTATCCACCCTTGGCACATAGGCTTTTGCCATCGATCTGTTCAAGTTTTATTTTTCATGATTATTGAAGTTATCCTCTAAGGGCTTGAGTGTCCACATATATGGAGAGCACAATTTTGGTTGTGTAAAATTCTTTGAATTTTTTATATTTTGTTACAGACATAGTGTCATCCAGCAACATTTGCAGCATATGAAATGTCCCAAACACTATTTTAACTGTTGTAAATGGGACAAAATTTTGATTTTAAGCAAGTAAAAAGAAAGAAAAAATTCTATGTTAAACAGCCATAAAAATTGGGAAAAGGGTTTTATGTAAATTTGAATGACGAGTCCACATATATGGACATAATTTTTCTCTGAAAGTACATGATCATATGAAAAGATGATACTTAGATCTTTGTTCTAATTAGGTTCCAATTAGCCCAAATAGCAAAGAGAAATAAAAATAAATGCATGTAAAAACACCTTGGGCCTTAAGACACCGCCTTCTTCGAGCCCTTCTTGGGTGCAGGTTCCGCTGGTTCAGGTATTTTCTTTTGATGAAAATATGATGAAGTGAATAAGTTACGTGAGTGCACACTAAATATTTATTGTGTTCTTTTGCAGATTTTAGCAAAGCAGCCTTCACCGATTGCTGCATTGGAACATTAAATCTCTGCCGCTGATTTCATTGGTCATAAAGGAGACACGCTTGCAAGCAGAACTACCAATTGTATGCTTTGAAACTGTAGGCCCCGCCCAGAGTCACTTTCGCAGAGATAACAGCCGCCCATCGCTTTACTTGGGTAAATTGCTCAGAATAAGTTGTTTTTAAATCATTAAATTGTTTAACTTATTAGAAAACAAACAAATAACTAGCGCCAATAACTTTTCTAGTAACACACACCTCATTTTATCAAGTTATAGTTTCATAGAAGTAATGTGTCATCTGTTTTACACAATTAACTAGTAAATTAAACACGTAATAAAATATGCTAACAACAGAACTTACAAACATGTTCACATAACACGTAAATAAAAAACTCCATATAATAAATAATAAAAATATACACAAAGAATAATAGGCAAATCTTAATCACTCTCTTATGACAGTGTGGGTGGCTCTTAAAAGAGCCTTTGGGTTTTAGGATTGGTCCTGGATGTTTAACCACCGAATCCGTACAGAGTGCGTCCCTGACGTTTCAGCGCGTACACAACATCCATGGCGGTCACGGTCTTCCTCTTGGCGTGCTCGGTGTATGTAACGGCGTCACGAATCACATTCTCCAGAAACACTTTAAGCACACCGCGAGTTTCCTCGTAGATCAAACCAGAGATACGCTTGACTCCACCACGGCGAGCGAGACGACGGATGGCGGGTTTGGTGATTCCCTGGATGTTATCGCGCAGAACTTTGCGATGACGCTTAGCGCCTCCCTTTCCAAGACCTTTACCGCCTTTGCCTCTACCTGACATGTTGCGTATCAATAAAGCAAATAGTTTAAATGTGTAGACTAGAACTGCATTCGAGAGGCTTTACAGTGGCTTAGACGACCTAGTTGAAACACTTAAGGCGGAGCTACAACGCAACGTCACAGTAAATGCGTCAATCCCCCAGGGCTCTTGGGTCTGCTGTAGTTTTCTTTTTGAATTATGCGAATAACCGACACGTCACCAAAAACCCTTTACCAAATAATATTATAAGTGTACTTTATGAGCCATATTAACGGCTCTGCAGTGGATGTGAGTGAGATTAATAGTACATTTTACGACGCGGATTTCGCTGGTTCTGGCATAATTACAGTTACAGTAAATTTAAAATTTGGATGCCAGTTTTTTACTAAACACTGGCTTTATCTGCTGCCTTATGTTATGCGTGTCTTGATGACCCCACATATAGTGTGAGTTTATTGGACACATTTAACCTTTCTTCTTATAGAAGAAAATGCTTTACAACGTTAACCCCGCCCATCGACAGTTACCGCTAGAGCCAGCCTGGCAGCCTGTATTCGAACCAACTGTGAGGCGACAGCGCTACCCACTGCGCCGTTTCTAGTTATAAAAAGAAAAGTGGTAATTTTGTTTTATCTTTAAAAAAATTTAATATAATCCTGAATATTTTTTGTATTTTTTTTTCTCGAAAATATCACAAATATCACATTATGTATGCAACTGTAAAGTTTATTAAATGTCCTTACATATTATACTAGAGAACAAAAAAAAAAAAAGGGCACACAATGTTGTGATGTATTGATGAGTGGGTCAGATGTGCAGTACAGCCTGTAGATAATATATAGGCCTATGTGTTTAATTGTCTTCTGCAAGATTAAATAAAATAGGGGAAAGCAGCTCTTAATGTTGTCTGGGTGTTCAAAGAGTAAAAAGCAGATCCAGTACACGCACTTAATGCAAAAACTTTTATAAAATAAAAAATATGTTATCAACACTTTATTCAATAATTTCGGACTGTTTTATCAATTATGTACATATTCCCACCTTTATATTTGAATAAATTAGCATACTACTTTTATTTTTAAGGGGTCGCCACAGTGGAATTAACAGCCAACTATACCAGCATATGTTTTAGGCAGCAGATGCCCTTTTAGCTGCAACCCTGTAATGGGAAGCATCTATACACACACACACACACACACACACACACACACACACACACACACACACACACACAAAACGGCCAATTCAGATTACCCAATTCACTTACAGCGCATGTGTTTTGACTGTGGAGGAAACCGGAGGACCAGAAGAAAACTCACACCAACCACTGAGCCACCGTGCCATCCTTTTTAACAAATTTTACAGGATCAAAAATATTGAAAATAGTTAAAATAGCTGAACTGTGTTTGACTCCCAGCATCTATTGGTTAAAATATCTATTTTAACATGGAAAAAGCCATTCAAAATACAGATATTTGTTGGTATGTTTATTTTTCAAATATAAATCTCACACTTCAACTCAAGCAATATAGCATTAATGAAATATATAAAAATATACGAATGTAAAAAGCATTATATATGTCATAACATTATCTTAATCAATATCAATAATCAAATCATTTACAATATTCTTCAGTCTCAGTCTCATTATTTGTGCATCGCTAATATAATGAAAGCTATTTGACTTAGATCTAACTTCAAACATAAATGTTCACAAAAAATTCTCAGTAAAACAGGTTATATATGCTTATATAAAATACAGTTTATCTGAATGATTCATGTGCAGAAGCAGTTCACTCAGAGTAATTTCTGAAGCAAAGTGAGCGCTGGTGTTCATCTCTTTTGGCGTCTGTTTTCATCACTGCACTCACAGACCTTTAAATAGATTATGCAGATGAATGCAGTTAATGCCAATAAAACACAACATGATGATATATAGTTTAAGATCACAATTAACCCTTGATCATCAGAAATAACTGAACATTAAACAGATTTATCATGTAAAACATTGTATTTCTGTTCAAAGAACCAGAACACAGTCCACATGATGAGCAAATTATCTGTTTTTTGTGAGTTACTGTTATATTCTGAAGTAAATGATAATTATAATAAAATAATTGATGATCTTACGTGTTTTCTTCTTCTTCTTACTTAAAACTTGAGCATAAGTTGCATCACCTCCGGCATCAGCGCCTGCTGAGAGCAAACGATAACATTAAAATAATGATCAAATTCTCCACAAACCAGGGGCAAATTTCAAAGAGATCACCATTAAAATCTTATCATGTCTTCTTAGTTACACTTTTTATTTATACAATTTATACAAAAATGCTGCCTTAAACTTTTAAGTTGACATTTACATTTAACTTTTGTAGTTATTTTAACTTACAGTTGGGTCCATAAATATTTGGACATTAACTCAATTCTAACATTTTTGACTCTAAATACACCAACACAGTGGATTTCAAATGAAGCGAACATGATGTGCTTCAACTGTTTTAACTGCAGCAGTGTGCTCTGATGCAGAAAAGCACATAATGGTTAAAGGGATAGCTCACATGAAAATATTTTTATATATTATATCATTTATTTTGGTTGTTCATTCCTCTGTGGCGACCCCAGATTAATAAAGGGACTAAGCCGAAATAAAATGAATGAATTACATAATCTATTGTATTTATTATTTAAATTTTAATTTACATAATTTACCACGGGGCAGCACGGTGGCTCAGTGGTTAGCACTGTCGCCTCACAGCAAGAAGGTCCATGGTTTGAGTCCCGGCTGGGTCAGTTGGCATTCCTATGTGGAGTTTGCATGTTCTCCCCGTGTTGGCGTGGGTTTCCTCCACAGTCCAAACACATGCGCTATAGGGGAATTGGGTAAATTAAATTGGCCGTTGTGTCTGAGTGTGAATGAGAGTGTAGTTTCAAAAATCTTTTTTTTACATTGTCAAATGTGTTTTCGTGTCCCTTTAAAATATGTTTTAACGAATATTGAACCCGATAACATTGTCTTTTAAAGTATTTGTCTGTCCTTCTGTGGATGTCAAAGTTACTGGTTTCCTACAATCATCAAAAACTCCTTTTGTGTTTAAAAGAAAAAAGTTTATTTATAAATATTTGGAGCCATTTAAGTGTAAAGAACAACTGTGTAAATGTTTTTTTTTTTTTTTTTGGGCAAACTCTCCCTTTTACACTTATGGTTCGACTGTAAAGATAAAAATGAGTTTCTCTCACCTCCATCTGTGTTGAGCTTCAGTTCAGAATATAGTGTGTCTCCAGACTTACTGCACATCCCTGAACAACACAAGAACAATGAATCAATATAAACCTTTACATCCATAACTGCAGTGAGTATGCAATCACAGACAACAAACTGTTGAAGAATTATTAAATAATACACACCCAAGGGGATGTTACTGTTAAATTATTAGAAAATAATGAACATAATGTGCAGTGTTTTTTTTAATAATCCAAAATACTGGAGTCTGCATTATATCATGTACATAACTCCCATGATAAACAAGAAGCCACTGCATTTCGATATATCACAAGAAATTCATCCAAGATATATCACGATATTTGTAAAAGAAAAAAAAAAGTTATAAGATACATTACTTTTATTAACAACTCAAGCTGAAAACTCTTCTGCCCCCCATTTTGTATTTTTTGTTTAATTAAGAATGTAGCAGGATCGCAAATAATTGCGACTTTTTGTTAATTATGCGTTGGATTCAGTGATCGCGGAATCACAAAAAAACTGGGGGTTCTGATAAATACAGATGAATCAATAATGTATCACAGGTGAAAATATCACGATATATCCGCATATCGATATTTTGTCCCACGCCTAGTTTGTGACTGTGCGTAGGCTGTGCTGGACCATAGACTAATAGTGCCATGATGCGGAAAGGTTATGTCAGGCTCTTGAAGGTACAGTATGGCGTTGTTGGGATTTCGTTCCCTTCGCATTTCAGTTTGATGCAGTGTCCAACTTCACTAAAGTGGAAAGCCTCTAAGTTTCCTTCAGGGAACCATGGTTCCAGTCGTAACCTGGGTTGTTTTATAAGTAATTTTTAATGGGCTGTATTAATGCCTGTGTACACCTGGGGTGCGTTTCCCATACAACTACGTAACTCGCAGCTGGACTATCATAGCATGATGCATCGTTTGGGAAAAGAACGATGTAGTGATGAGTGTTTCCCAAAACCCCTAGTTTCTCCGTAACAGATCCATCACTTGAACCATGTTAGTTATAATGTAAAATGCCCATAATGATGCTCTAAACGGGGTGGAGTAACAACTTCTTTAGTGAAGAACCCATTATTTCTGTGCAAATTATATTGTTTTACACACACACGCATAAAACAAATTCAATATTAGTTTTGGTAAAAACATGCACTTGCTTTCCATATTAATTGAATTATATGTAAATGGCTCATATAGCCTGTGTTTCCTTTACAGATATTATTGAGAACATTAAATATTCTATTCTAAAACATAAAATCACTTACAAAAGCTAACACGTATCTAATCTCATATATAAATCATATAAATAATGTATTAATAATAATAATAATGTATAATAATGATAAAACTGTAAAAAATACTTTGAAAGCAAATTACACCTAAGAGATGACTTTAACCATTCCAAGTGTAAATGTTAGAAGATTGTAAATGAATAGGGCATAGGGGGATAACTGTGAATAGAACACAGCCAGGAACTATGTTTCTAACTACAGCTCCAGAGATGTAGTTGCAAGTGTACAAGTTTGCGACGCAGTTTGCCAATGTTCATTGGAACGATGGATTTGGGAAACAGCAAATTAACTATGTTTGTAACGATGGAATTTGCAAACTTAGTTGACTAACGATGGTTTTCGGAAACGCAGCCCAGGATGGTTAACATGCTTGAGTATCACTTGAGTTTCATGCCTCATGACTAAATGGTGCTAATGGGAGTGTAAATGTGAGTTCTGCAGCACAAAAACACTTTGGTGGAGACGTACATAGCCATAGTGGTTGAGGTTATACAGAAAAAGAAAAGCGTGACAAATACACATAGAAAAAGCATGAGGGTCACATTGTCACGGTATGTTGAGGGACGGAGACAAAAAGGGTGTAGGATCCAAGAGCAGTTTTAATGAGATGCAGATAACAGAAAAACAAGATATCCAAAAATCAAAGTATCAAAATAACAACAACAAAACAAAACAAAAGAATCTATGCAAAAGTACTGTATGTCAAAAGCACTGTCGCCTCACAACAAGAAGGTTGTTGGTTGAAGCATTTCTGTGTGGAGATTGCATGTTCTCCCTGTGGTGGCGTGGGTTTCTCCAGGTGCTCTGGTTTCCCCCCCAGTCCAAACACATGCACTATACTGAATTGGGTAAGCTAAATTGGCTGTAGTGTATATGTGTGAATCCAAGACTGTGGGTGTTTTCCAGTACAGGGTTGCGGTGGAAAGGGCATCCACAGTGTAAAACATATTCTGGATAAGTTGGCGGTTCATTGCGCTGTGGCGACCCCTGATTAATAAAGGGACTAAGCCGAAGGAGAATAAATGAATGAATGAAAAAATAGTGGAGATAGGCACGAGCGATACTTTATTTTCATATGATCTGTAACAGAACATCTATTACTTACCGCCATGTTTCTCCTTAGACTTCATTTCAATCAGAACATCAGAAATTCCAGCACCTAAAATTGAAAAAAAAAAACAATAGTTTGTTAATTTCACTCTTAGATGTGTGTATGCTTGTTTTAATATCCCTGGAGTAAATTTACAAATGCTCAGAGTCATTATTTTAAGCAAAAGCTGTCAGTTGTGAGTGTAGTGACTGTTGATACACTTGAAGTATGGAGTAAATCTAGGGCCAAATACACTTGCAAAATAAAAGACAAAATGCAGGGTTCCATACAATTCATTCATGTTGTCCCAGCACAAACTGCTTAAGTTAACTTGACACTTTACCAAATTTAAGTGGATTAGACATTAAAAAAATTAAGTTGTCCCAATAAAATCTCAAGAATTGTGTTGCTTCTACTCATTTTTAATAAGTAAAAAAATAGCAAAATAAAAATAAATAAATGAGTATAGTACTGAGCAAAAAAATAAATAAATAAATAAATGCAAATCTCCAAAAGTCGCAAAGCGGAAATTCATTTTTGATTTTTAAATAAAAAAAAATAATTTTGCTAACAAAAATAACAAACTGCAAAGGGAAAATTAAGTTTAGATAAATAAAAATGAAATTTATAAACAAAAAAACAACAGCAAATAAATCAAGAAGTAAAAAAAAAAGAAAAAAAAGAAAAGAAACTCAAATATTTGCTATTGAAAAAAAAAATATATGTTTGCATTTATATTTTATAAACATTTTTTATTGCATTGCCTTTAAAAATTTTGCCTGGTCAATTGCAATGCTCATTTTGGATTACAAACCATGAGTTTGCGATGCTGTTTTCACAAGGAGGCAGTCAAAGGGGAGTCAAGGGAACTTGAGCGTTTAGGGCAGGCCCAGACCTGCCTTCATTTAAGCAACATCATCATCTAGAGACACAAGCTGCGTCCCAAATCACATACTTATGTACTATTCTACGCCATTTTGTAGTATAAATAATGCAAGTGCGTTAACTAAAAACTCTAATAATAAAAAGTGCACTTTAATTAGCCGGATGATGCATTCATTCAGCTGTTAAAATGAAGTGTGTAATGATGGACACGTCAACTGCTGCTGCTTTGCCCACGTAGCGGAAGGGGCGGAGCTATCGGGCGCACATGTTGGATAACTTTATATGATGGATGGCGAAAGCAAAACTCTCCTACGAGAGTGATTAGAGTGCCTCCCAATGGGGAATATGTTTATACTCAAGGCAGGTATTATTTGGTAGTTTGGTTGTTTATTTCACTGATTTGGCGACCGTCAAACATAGTCTGGGAAATGGTTTGAATTAGTAAAAAAACTAGTAAAAAAACATTAGTGCTCTATTTGGGATGACACTACATACATATGCTATGCTGTTGGGTGTGTAAGTGCATAAGTACATTGCGTATGAGTGCATAATATATAGTGTGACATTTGGGACACAGCTACAGATTAGATTAAAATGTCTTTGTTGTCCCCGAAGGTCGATTAGGTTTACTTTCACTCTCACCTCATACACTTGTCCAATACTATAGAGATTTGTGCCCAAGATCTTTTGAGATTGATGAACAATTTTGAAAAGTCTGTTTTTGTCCCCCTTAAATGACCATACTAGCATATTACTGCAAAATTTACAAGAGACTCAATAAAAGAAGAATAAAATGTCCAAAGTAGAGGCCTATCCACAATAAATCACTTCAACTTCCTCAAACAGAACAGTCTTTGATTTACCTTTTTACAGATAAAATTAGTGTTGGCCTCAAAGTTCAGTTTATCATCCAGAATGGTTCCCAGGTATTTATACTCACTCACTGTCTCAACAACAGTATCATTTATAGTGGTAGTAGTAGCATTAGAAATAGAGTTATGCCGATTATCAATAAGCATCTCTTTCATTTTTGAGATGTTAAGTTGTAAATATGAGTCTTTGCACCAAGCAACAAAGCTGTCCAACACTAGGCAATGACCCTCCTCATGATCAAGCAAAAGACTGACAATGACAGAATTATCAGCATACTTCATTATACACCTTGATTTAAATTTACTCTGACAGTCATTAGTGTAAAGCACACAAAATAGTGATGATAAAACATATCACTGTGGAGAACCTGTTGAGCAATAAATAGGTCTGGGCCTGCTGTAAACATCTAAGCTCCATCGACTACGTCCCCTTGTCAAATCAGGGCCACAAAGTTAAAAGTGCAGAATCGTGAAGTGCAAAGTGAAAACAGCGTTGCAAACTCATGGTTGACTAAAAAGCAAATCAATATGAGTATTGCAATTGACTGGACGAGTTTTGTAAAGGCAATGCTATTAAAAATGTTTTGCAAATATAAATAGTTTTTTTTTATTTATTGTAATTTTTTTTTTGCAGTTCTTTTTTTGTTAGCAAATTTTATTTTATCTCTCTAAATTTATTTTCCCTTTGCAGTTCTTTTTTTTTTTTTTTTAGGAAAATTAATATTTATTTCTCAAAAATTAATGTTTGCTTAACAGTTTTTGGAGATTTGCATTCATTTATTTATTTTTTGCTTAATACTATATTTTCTGTTTTGTTAACTTTTTTTAATTTATAAGTATATATAGCCCTAAACTGACTCCATGTTGAAGAGTTCTTTGTAAAAATACACAACTCTGTATTTATTAGTATTAGTTTTTTTTCAATGCAAAATAAAAACAGAGTTATATTAGTTGTCCTATTGTTAAACCATTAAATCACTTAAATGTAATGAATCAGTCCAACTGCTTTGTTTAGACACAGTTTATAGCGTTTACCTTTGCCTGTGGTTTTCTTTTTGTCCTTTTTACTGATCGCTGCATAAGTCATATCACTGGGTCCTGCAGTATTAATATCTGACACAGAACAGAAAAGCATTCAGAAAGATCATAACGTGCTGAAATGAATATACTTCGTAAGAAATAAGTTGGATCATTCCGTTGTGGCGACCCCAGATTAATAAAGGGACTAAGCCGAAAAGAAAATGAATGTATGAATGAATAAATAAGAAATAAAATAAAATTCACCTTTTCTTTTGGGTTTCTTTGCTTTAGTTCCAACGTCTGCGTACATCGTGTTACTTTGCCCTGGAATATTTTCATCTGCAAAAATAATCATAAAAATGACTCTTTTTATAAAACATAAAAAGACTCATACTGGTGTATTCCATGCTTTATTTTATTTCACCTTCACTCATGGGTATATTTTTCTTAAGTGTGACCTCAGAATATGTCACATCTGCCACTGGCTCTAAAACAAACAAGTCAAGGTAATGTGAATTCATGACATATGATTATTTCTAAATGATAAGCATTCCTAAAAGTTTTAGACTCGACCTTCATCTTTGTTATTCACTGTGCTCACATCGTCATAAATGTTGTCAGGACCTGCAGGACAGCAAACAAACATTTATAAGGAAAAAGATGAACATATAAGCAATCTGGATAATAATAATAATAATAATAATAATAATAATAAACATAATATTCAGGTGTTTTAGATTTTTAAAGATTGAGCTGACCAGACTGCAGAGTTAAGTTGTCCGTCTGAGATTCTCCAGATGGGTTTGATATCAAAGTTGGTTGAACCCCACAGTGTGGATCTACAGTAGAAACAAATGTCATGTTTAGGGTATTTAGAGCAATTGCTCTTGTAGATAATCTGACTGTAACTGTATTTGCATTACATGCTTGATTTATTAATCATTTCAGAATCTCATTCGCACCTTTTTTCTTCTTGTGTCTCAGCAGCAGAACCAGTAAAATAAGGAACAGCAAGAAAACAGTCAATCCCACAGAAACACCAATGATCAGAAGAGAAGGAGATGAAGCTGAAGAGAGAAGATGCCAGACCTGATCATAAAGCACATGCTGTATGATAATATTACAGAGGTAAATAATCTCTCATTATTCCCAGACCTCTGACTGAGATCCAGCTGTGTGGTGACTCTATGCTCTCGGTTTTACAGTAGTAGAAACCCTCATCAGACTTTGAGACAGTAGGGATGCTCATCTCTCCTGTCGTCTGATTCTGGATCAGTAATCCGTCTTTATAGAAATCAGCTGTGAGGATGGAGGAGATTGTAGATCGATGTAAACAGTGTAGAGTCAGAGTTTCTCCCTCAATCACAGGATCAGCAGAACTCGCCAGAATCACAGGACCATCTACAAAACAAACAGGTGTTTACTCAAAGTATCTCAAAATAACTCATATCAGCAGTTTTATGAACCTTCTTTTGCCCCACTGGACTACATATTCATTTATCGCCAATTTGCAAAACATAAAGTTGTTATAAATTGATGTTAATTGTAGTCAAATTTTAAATAAATTTAAAGTCTGTGATCAGCTGTACAGAAGGAAAATGTGTGTGTAACTGAAATAAGATTGTGTGTAATGTGTGTGTAATTCTTCAGGTGTGAATGTGTCTAGATGCTGCTCTTAGAAGCAGGACTCACCATGTACAGTGATGTTCAGAGGATGGCGTTTCTCTCCAGATTCAGACTCACACCAGTAAACTCCAGTGTCAGATGTGCTGAGAGACTGGATTTCACATGTAGATCCTGTTTGTGCTGAACAATCTTGTGTGTTTGTGTGTGTGTATCTTCTCACTGTCCATCCAGCAGAGTCACAGCTCAGAGAGAGAGAGTCAGAGGAGAAGTGTTGACTTCTGCTGGCGTTGAGCACCAGACGCACTGAAGCAGAAACACCTGAGATAAAGAACATCTCATTTAAAGCTGAAAACAAATATGCGATTGTGTAATAAAATCATCTGAATGTCAAATGTTATAAAGTGCAATTATGTTTTAGCCTAAATGTTGGGATGTGGAAGTTTACCACATGTGTTCTTCTGCCTCAAAATTCACATTTGACAAAAAGGTCTGCCCAAACATTGGAAAGGAAAGTAAAAGTTAAAAGGAAAGTTGTGAGATCTGGCCAAGCATGGTGACCCATACACGGAATTTGTGCTCTGCATTTAACCTATTTAAGAGCACAAACACACTGTGAACACACACTCGAAGCAGTGGGCAGCCATTATGCCTGAGGAGCAGTTGGGAAATCAGTGCCTTGCCTTCAGAAGTGGTATTGAGGGTGGTAAAAGGGCTGGTTATTCACTCCCAACACTTACAATCCCTGTTGGTGCCGGTACTCAAACCTGTGGCCTTCTGATCACAAGTCCAATGCTCTAACCATTAGGTCACATTGTGTGTTTTTTGTTTTTCATTTTTAGTTTGCTGTTGCAACTTTTGTAAAGTGTAAATACTTGACAACACCTCACTCCACCCCCAAGCCCATGACAAGGTGATCAATACAAACATTGGTCTGTATAAATAATGTTGGAGGCTCTTGCACTAAAGGGACCTCTCTACATTTTTGCTAATAAAAAAATTCTGCAAGTTTCTTTAAGTCAAATTTAAGACTTTTTAAGACCCTTTTTTAGACCATTATGAATGAAATTTTAGACTTATACAGGGCTAAACCCTAAGGATTTTTTAATGGCCCAGTTACTCCTAAAACAAAATTGTTTTTGTATTAATGGAAGATTATGTAAAGGGATGTACTGCTTTAGTTTTCTTTCCCTGTTTATGTCTAACAGATGTTGTGAATTGTATTTCTTTGCAATAAAACACATTTATTATATATATATAAATTAAGATAGATTATTGATTGGGTAGCTTTACTTGGACACTAAAAAATTAAGACCTGTTTAACATGATTTAAAGACCTACAACAGAATAGTTCAGTGAATTTGAGACTTTTTAGGGCCTAAAATTTTGGTTTGGAAATTTAAGACATTTTAAGATATTTTAAGACCTCGCAGACCCTGAAATCTGAAATATTTTACTTAGGGTACATTTGTTCATTTGAGATACATGTGAGATTCAGATTTGATACATTTGAGATAGCTTCTTTTACATGTTTTTTTTTCTAGTGCTAAAAGCAATAGCTGCCCACTTCTCTGGGTGTATATGTGTGTGCTCAAGCTCCTTCCTCAAAATGTATGTGTGCATTTGGATGGGTTAAAAACAGAGAACCAATTTTGAATATGGGTAAAACTTTACTTGACAAGGCTCACTTCACTGTCATGTGTATTTTGGCAAACTCCAAGTGTGCAGTCATGTGTCTTTGGGCCGGCACACACCAAGTTGATGCCAAACAACAACTACCTCGCATCTGGACCAAAAAGCTGCAAGTGAAAACATCAAATGGATGGCAGCTAGATGAAAAGACAGAGTGCGTTCTACACCTGAATGAGACTAGTTTTTCCGTACCCAGTAGGAACGATAGTATGTTTTCTCTCATTCCACAAAGGGAAACCGGAAGATGAACAGCGCACAGACGAAACATAAACCAGGGTATAGTAACATTATCACAGTAACTGTCACTCACCATGAAGATGAGGCTTATAATCCATATCATTTTCAAATAAAACCCTAAATCAGAAAAAAAAAAACTTGACAGTGTGTGACAGTATGGAAACGCAAATAAGAAAGGAAAGTAGTGACTTCTAAATTTACTTTGACTTGTATTTTATTGCAGACAATTCAACATAGATTATTTCATATGTTCCTCGTGACATGATCCAATTTTGCATCTTGCTACACATTGCACATTGCACAACTTGGTTAGTCAGGTAAATTAGTTAAATAATTACTGTGATCTCCAATCCTTCAGGCAGCACTACATCAAGAATCCGCATTCATCTATAAGCAATATCACCATATGGATTCAAAACTACTTTGGCAAATCTTTGTAAAGTACCAAAACATGTAGTTACATCCACAAATGTCGGTTAAAACTGTTCTGTGCCAATAGGAAGCCCTATGTTAACAGTGTCCAGAAATGCTGTTGACTTGTTTAGGCTTGAAGGCCTCTGGGATGGAGCATCACACTGTGGAAACTTGTACTGTGGTCAGATGAATCAGTATTTTAGGTATTTGTTGGGAGAAATAGACGCAGTGTGCTCTAGACCAAAGAAAAAAAGAATCATCCAGACTGTTCAGCAACATGTCCAAAAGCCAGGGTCTGTCATGGTATGGGATTGTGTCCGTGCCCTTGGCAAAGATAACTTGCACTTCTGTGATGCACCATTATTCCTGAAAAGTGCATGGAGATTTTGGAGCACAAAATGCTGCCTTCTTTTCCAGGGATGCCCATGCATATTTCAACAAGACAATGCAAAACCACATTCTACACACATTACAATGTCCTGGCTGCAGAGAAAGAGGATGCAGGTACCTGACTGGTGTGCCTGCAGTCCTGACCTGTCTCCAATAGAGAATGTGTGGCAGATTTTAAAGCACAAAGTGCGGCAACAAAGTCTCCATACTGTTGCCCACCTTAAGAATTGTTTGCTGGAAGAATTGTACAAAACTACATCTAAATGACATCATCGCTTGGTGTCTTCAGTCCCTAAACATCTTTTAAGTGTTGTGATAAGAACTGCCACCATTACAAGGTGGTAAAAGCTTTACTGTTCCAGTTATTTTTGAACGTGTTTCAAGAACCAAAATTGGAATACATGCTTATTTAAAAAAAAAAAATAATAAAATAAATAAATAAATAATGAGGAACATTTCATACTATCCTAAAGTTTTCTGATTTTAGGTTTTAATTGACAAATGTAATAAGAATTATAGCTGGCTTCTTTGTGTTCCTTCTTGATGTTAATTGTTTACTTGGTTATGCAACTTCAGTTTTTGTTCACACACTCTGACTTGTTGCTGAATAACCAATCAGATTGCTCTCTTCAGCCAACGGCCAACGCCAATTCTACATGCTGAATTTGCCAACTCTTTCCAATGTTAACTTGATTAGAGGCGAAGTGTGGAACAGCTAGCTGGACTGACGTTGATCAACAACCTGAAGAACTCCAGTGGCTTGGTTTGTTCTTGCCTTTTACTGAGCAGTGTCTCCATCTTGCTGCTCTACAATGGAGGTCTGATTGGTTGAGTGCTGCAGAGATTACTGTTTTTCTGGACGGTTATCTTCTCTCCACAGAGAAATGCTAGAGCTCTTTCAGAATAACCATGAGGTTACCTACTTGACTAAATTGTTTCTCAGATTGCTCAGTTTGGCCAGCTTTAGGAAATGTCATGGTGGTTTCAAACTTCAATTTATGGATAAAGAGAACTTTAGTTATTCAGACCATCAGTGCTTTAGAAATGTTTATGTACCCTACAATGCTCTTTCGGAGGTCTACAGACAAATCTTGGCTTGGTTTCTGCTCTGAAAAACACCTTATAAAGACCTTTAGATAGATGGTTGTTGAAGGAATAGAATTACAGTCAAATGCTTCTTTTGAATTACATATATGTGCTCATGCTTATAATGCATATGTGTTTGCTTGAACCATGATAATCTAATGAGCCCAAGCAATGATATGATGAGACATTCTGTTTGACCTTAGAATGAGACAGGAACTTTCCACCCCTATAATGTCAAATAACTAAATCTGTAACAGACAAGTCTTGCAGAAAGCCCCTGTCTGGGTTTCAGCTGTGATGTGTGACTTTTCTACACAGAAAAGAGAACTGGAGCAGATAAGGAAAATATTGCTTTATTGTCTTACTAATCACTCTTTTCTTTTGATATATTTTTGCTATTGGAGGAATATACTCCCATTTGCCTCACTATTCATTATTTACAATATGTGTTTTTGTCAGATATGATGATGTCTCCTGATATAGCGTACTTCTACTTAACCCCTGTTATAATGCGTTTCTAACCAACTGCTAAAACCACAAGAGCTGTGTGTGGGTGCTGGCTGGAGACAGAGTTGCAGAGGGGCTTCCCCTAGATGGGTGCATACACAGGTCAAGAGTTCATAGACAGGACTAGGAGGAAAAGCTGATGTGGTAGATGCAGCATTTGTATACTGCTCTCTGTGTATGTGTGATGTATGATGCTTTAATAAAATTGATATTATCCTGATAATTCTATAAGGAAGTTATGATGCTCAGCTGTGCTTTGATGATTTTTTGCTACAGTTGCTTGCTGCACCCCAGATGTCAGTAGTGCCAAGTATGTCAAGGAGAAGTGATACTTTCACCTGCCCTTTTGTTTCTGTGTGCAGAGGTATCTCTGTGTGCAGACCACAGACCTTTGAGAGATGATTCTGCCTGAAAACAGCTGATGGCAACAATAGAGATTGGGGGTAACTGATCAAAGGAGTGGCCAAAAAGACTGAACGCTGCTGATGGATAAAAGGAGGGAGTTCGAGAGAGTTCGAGAGCTTTTGGACATCCAGACTGCTTGGCTGTCGGTTCTTCAAAAGCCCAGGATCCTGATCTTCGCTTTATTCACTTATGCTCGATAAATAAATTCATTGATTTTGATTAATTGACTCCTGACCGATTATTGAATTGGGGTGGACTAAGGCAAGTGAGAAATAGTCCAACATTGTCTGCTTCATCAAATTATGTCCACCAGCTGAATGGATTCCAGAAACACATAGAAATACCTCAAAGATAATCAGTAGAAACAGATGCACCTGAGATCAATGCTGAGTGTCATGGCAAAGGCTTTGAATACTGATGTACAAATGTAAGACTGCTAATAGAATTTAAAAAACAAATAATACATTATATTCAGCTGTGTTAAATACACCTGACATAATTAAAAAAAAAAATGCACCATATTCAAAATAAATCCGTAAAATAACAATATGGGATCAAAGTGAAGCGCTGTGAATAATTTCTGGGGGCATTGGTATATGATAATATTTTTTATTAATGCGTTTTGCTGTATATTGTTCTACAGGGGAAAGCTAGCACCACACAACTATGTTGCATATTCTGTTATTCTGTCTCTTACATTGTGTCCAAATTGACTCTTTATACACTATTGGCACTATGTCTTCAAGCATCTAAGGGTACAACCATAATAATCTGTACTACAGTCTCAAGGATGAGATTGTGGTTGTGTTAAAATGGTTGAGCCCTACAGAGCCCGGTGTCTCTTGAAGTTTTTTCCCTCTCACTTGGTCAATTAGTGAAGTTTTTTTCCTTGCCACTGTTGCCACTGTCTTGCTTGGATCAGGACTTGTGGACCTGCACATCGATGTATTTGCTCTTTAGTGTTTGGACTTTAAGCAGTGAAATTTAAACTGTACTGAACTGAACTTAAACTCTGAGAACTGGACTTTATTCGAACTTCCATGTAAAGCTGCTTTGACACAATCTACATTGTTAAGCGCTATAGAAATAAACATGAATTTAAATGATTTGATTTTGTTGATTTTGTTGCGCTGAAAGTCCTGTCATTCTACTATGTGATTAAAGCTATGGCAGTTGTGTGTATGGCGTGTTAAACTAGTGGATAAATAATCAAGAGCAGTTTTTTGAGGTTGGCATCAGTTTTGTAAAGATTTGCCAGAACACCAATCTTTAGAAGAATACACATATAGATGCCTACAAACATAGAGACTGGCACACACAGACTCACCAGTGACCCACAGTGGCTGTGCGCTGCTGTTCTGTGAGGAATAGGCTGGTTCTCCTCTCTCTGCTCTGCACGTATAAACTCCTGTGTGCTGTAGAGCAGCAGGACTGAGAGTGTAAGAGCCTCCAGCTCCTCTGCTGCTGTCTGACAGATGATCAGCATCTCTGAACCAGCTGAACGTCCAGCCTGTAGAGGAGCCTGGAACCTCACAGATCAGAGTCACCGAGTGTCCTTCAGTGATCCACGGCTGTGGAGACACTCGCACTGCTGCCTGAGCTTCATCTGAACCAAACATGAGGAGTTACAGAGCCATAGAGGAGCAGATACAGACTCTGATAATACTGAACACACACACACACACACACTCACCTGAAGACACAATCAGAGCAACAGCATCACTGCGCTGAGAGATCTGAGTGTTCATCTGTCCTGTACAGCTGTAATTACCACGGTGAAAGACCTCAACACGGCTGATCTTCAACTCTTGTGCTGAGCACCGGCTCACAGCAGTTCTGTAGTGTTGTTGAGTGGTTCCACTGGTGCAGCAGTCTGGTCTGGTACAGGGGTTGATGGGTTTGTTTGCTGTCTGTTGTGTGTCTATTTGCCATCTGTATGTCCACTCAGTGCTTCCTCCCCACTTTATATCACATCTGAGAGTGACTGTTTCTCCTCTGAACACATGTTTATCAGGCCGCACCGTCACCACAGCTTTAGGACTCTCTGTACAAACACAGAATAATGTGTTTATTTTTTTCATTTATATTTAGATATACTGAATCACACACTGTGTTTTCTCTCACCTGTAACACTGAGTGTCAGTTCATCACTGTATTGTGTGTAATAGACTGGTTCTCCTCTTCTAGCTCTACACCAGTACTGGCCTCCATCAGACACTGAATCAATCTTCATGCTGTAGGAGTTTGTTCTTGTCATGTTTATCTCAGACCCTTGTGTGTTTTTGTACCAGTAAAAGTCCCATCTGGTGGACAGATCAGTGTTACAGGTCAAAGTCACTGTGTTTCCAGTCAGTGCAGCTCCTGCAGTATCTGATCTGAGTTCAGGCTTTGGCTTTAAATCTGAAGGTAAACAAGAGCATATTAAAATTCTCAAAAGTCATAATCGTTTAGAGAAATAGCTCAGACATTCTGTTTTTGTCTTGCTCTGCCTGCAGCTTTTCTAACTGTGAATATCGTGGTGGAAGGTTTTAGGTGAGAATATAGTAATTTAAATATCCAATTTACATTTAATTATTGATAGAAGTGCCTATTTGAAAATGTAATTCAACAATTACACAGAGCCTTATTGAGCAATTCCAGCACTTCAGTGGGTCTTTATTGTTCATGTAGCCACGAGAAAACAGCTTTACCATGGACACTGTTGTGATGGAATCTACCAGTGACTGAGATGTATCTCTGTAGTGGTTAAATTTGAAAAATGTATTTGTTAAAAAACATTTTTCATTAATTCATTTTCTTGTCGGCTTAGTCCCTTCATTAATTCGGGGTTGCCACAGCGGAATGAACCGTCAACTTATCCAGCAAGTTTTTACACAGCGGATGCCCTTCCAACCGCAACCCATCTCTGGGAAATAAAAACATTTTTGTTTTAGATATTTCTAATGGCAATAGTTGGTCTCAGTCATCTGTTATTTGTTTCAGAGCAAACAGATTTGACTGATTTGAAATTAAGCAGCATGAAAAATCCATTTAACTGTTGAACAAATGCTTTATTAAGATGAGATTGATCTGAAGAGGAGTGATTGAAGAATAAATGACATGGCAATTCTCAATCAATCTCTTTCTATCTCTTGCACAATACAGTAATGTCAGTGTAGCTCTACATATTGCTATTGTGTAATGTTGGTGAATTTCCACATGTAGAAATCCAGACCTGTCTCTGTGTATTTATTGATTTTGTTGTTCTTCATGTGGCATTAAAACCTGAATAACAGCTTCAGCGCACAATGCCCTCTGTATGATCATCACTGAAACATCACAATACTGTATATATTGCAATGGAAAAAAAGATATGCATTTTTTACTAGTTCTTAAGCATTTGACATGTTGTTGTTGTTGTTGTTTATCTAGTAAGAGGCTTTAGCTCAGTGGTTAACAACTTGTGGTGAAATGAAGTATTATCTCATATAAAAAAGTTTTTAATACACTCTGGTTGTCTTTTTTTATTTACATACTTGTGTTGCTGCACTGTTTTATAAAAGCTACATCACTCTTCTATCAGTGCAATATTGTTTATGTCAGCACAGCTGTTATTACCTTTGGTACTCTGCCTTCAAGCCAAATCACAGCAGTGCTGATATACAGCCATAACACACAGCTACTAGTATGATAATGCTCAAATATATATCAAATTTTCAAAATATGTTTTTGCTTTTCATCTGTTATTCATTTAATTTTTTTTTCCGGGGTTAGTTTTCAGGAGACAGAACAAAACAGGAGATGGGTCTGAAATACGGGAGACTCCTGGGAAAAACAGGAGTGTTGGCAGGTATGACCAAAAGCCTCTTTTTGCTCCTATTGCTCCGAGTCCTGCCCACAGTTGTTACAGCTACCAAACCGACCAATCACAGAACTTGCTTTCTGCATCATCTTGAGGTGTAGTTACATGTTTTGGAGGTGCAGATCAAGGTGGTAAAGGGTACAATGCAGTAGAGGTCAGCAGCTGCACCTGACCAGATTTCTTGTGTTGCTAAAAAATATTTTCGAATAAAGCATGGTAGCGGGATGTACACTAGGAGAGATCGGGTGTGGAATAAAACCTGGCGGGAACAGGACTAAAAATTCAGTCCCGCGCAGATTTCTACAGTGCAGTGTCACACCAATTGCAGTGCCCTTCTATGGACACTTGAGGGCACTAGCTTGTTTTGTCATTTGCTCTTCTGACTATAGTATTTGTTACAGCTGTTTCTCGTTTGTTAAATTAGTTCTGTCCTTAAAAACCCTTTCGTCTTGTGTTTTAGCTGCCTAAGGAATTTGCTTGTTTCTCATGTTTGGTGTGTTTGTTTGGTGATCTAGTTTTATATTTGCTTATTTTTGGATTCCTGTTTGTTCTTGTTTGGACAATTTTTTTGTGGATGCCCTTCCAGCTGCAACCCGTTACTGGGAAACAGCCATACATTCTCATTCACACATATACACTACGGAGAATTTTAGCTTACCCAATTCACCTGTATCACATGTTTTTGGACTTGTGGGGGTAACCGGAGCACCCGGAGGAAACCCACACAAACATGGGGAGAACATGCAAACTCCACACAGAAATGCCAACTGACCCAGCCGAGGCTCGAACAAGCGACCTTCTTGCTGTGTGGCGAGAGCGCGAGCCACTGCGCCACTACTTCATTTAATAATAATATTGAACAATAATATGGTGATCACTAATAGTGATAATTTAATAATTTTATAATAACAATAGTAATTTTAGCACATGAAACTGCACCACGGATGAAGTCAGGTTAAAAGTGTATTTTTATTTTATTTTATTTTATTTTTTTACATCTAAAAGTCAATTGATTTACACTGGGAATTTAGGAATGTGTTTTAATCACACCACAATTCATAAACTTCTGAAAACAGCTGGAAAATAACTGTTTTGTTGCATGAAATGTTGTATAAAATTAGGCAAATTATGTATGAAAAATCCCTCTTTAAAAAGCTTCAGTCCTCTGATGTGTCTGATCCAGAAGAGTTTAATACCAGCGTTGAGCCATAAATGCTGATTCTACATGAGCACTGAACAGATCAGAATATAAATATCTTATAGTCCAGGGGTCACCAAACTAGTCCCTGAAGGGCCGTGTTTTGCACTCCAACCCTAATCAAACACACCTGAACTAGCTAATCAAGGTCTTACTAGGTTTACTTATAACATCCAGGCAGGTGTGTTGAAGCAAGTTGGAGATAAACCCTACAGGACACCGGCCCTCCAGGGCTGAGATTGGTGACCCCTGTTATAGTCAGTGAAACCACAGCATCACCATACAACATCTAGAATATTTACATAATTTAACAGTGAAATAAAGTTTAAATGTGATTATTCAGATAGGTCTATTGTAAAATTGCAAATATTCATAGTATAATGTATTTTTATATTTGACTATTTTGGGCAGATTATAACACATTTCTTGCTGAAGTACTCACGTGTCACATTGAGATAAACAGCAGAGCTTGATTGTGTTGAGTGTGGTCTGCTAGATCTCTGTCCTTTACACCAGTACAGACCCTGATTATACCCAGCAGCTTTAGTGAGAGTGAGCGTTTGAAGCTTAGACGTCTGTAACACACCGTTTCTCTGTGTGCCTTTATACCACTCATATGTCCAGTCACTGTGATCTGGCTTAATCACACACTTCAGCTTGACTGTCTCTCCAGTAAATACAGCACTGGCTGGGGTCACAGTCACTCTAGATGTGGGTAAAGCTGAGAAGAAAGAAGACAAAACATCAAGTGAATCGAACGGGTCTTTTAGTTAAAATTAGGGATGCTCAAAATAATTGATTAACCGTTAACCGAAAGGGTGCATTTGTAACCGATTAATGCTATTAGTTAAACGATTAAAAATATTATTTTATATATTTTTACTTTGGCTGCATAAGGGGCCGATTGAATGCGCCTTGCGTTAAGAGGGGCATCTTTTGCATGCGGCTCATCCCAGAGCAGCAGTTTGTGTTGTCAAGACAACTACAGAGAACTTTTAAAGAGCTTGGTTTCTGCTACATTCATTCTTCAATGGCGGGGACCAAAATGCATCCATCCACGGCTACATTACCCATTCAAAACATTCAGTCATTGTTGTTGTTTTTAATAGCGGATTATAATCGCACCGAAAGGTATTAAAAGGTAAGTGAATTATAACAGCGCAAACTTTTCTGTAACCATATATAGTGCTGTGCAGCCTGTGCGCTATCTGTTGGCGTTACATGCTGACTGACTGACAGGTGAGCGATGCTTGAGGCCAGCAAACTCGACGAAGCTTTCAGTTAAGATGAACACAGTTTCTATAGTTATACTTTATTTATAGATAACTTTCATAAGAAGACCGCGCTTCTTCTCTTCTGTTTTCCTTGTCAACATAAAGGCAGTGAGGTGCGCCTTTTTGGCCCTAATGCCATTTCGGCTGATGTTGACCTGGATCTGCGTCATAAACACAACAAATAGGCTTTACCTTTTATTTTACAGCTTATAAAGCATGTATGTTTGGAAGGTAAATCCTGCCAATTTTAAATAAATCAAATAAATATTGGAAATGAAAATGAAAATCAGATTAACAATTTTATTTTAAAACACTGTTCACAAAATATCTGCCAAAATTGAAAAGGAAACTAAATTATTTAATTTTCATTTTCATTTTCACTTTGACAACACATCGTCCCAGTCAAATTGATAATTAAAACGAATTTGCCAATTTAACATTTCATTTTCACTGCATTTCCACGTCAAGACTGCCAATATTAAAATAAAAAGCCAAACTGAAAAATAAAATGCAAACACAATTTTTACAAATCGTGTTATTAATCTTCACGCTATAATAGTGACACAATTCAAATTAAAATGTAAAATTAAGCTTTCCTTTTATTGACACTTTTTCATTTTAGTTTTCATTTTCGATTTCATTTTCAACTTCAAGCTGTATGCAAAGCCTATGCTAATCAGTGGGAGGTGCGTATTCAAGTGACGTCGAGTGCTTTTACAGAGCCCTAGGGCAGAAGCACGGTTTTGATGGATGGGACAGCGTGAGTTACTAGTGTAAATACAGTATAACAGAGGTAAAATGCCAAAAACTGTTAGTCAGCTTTTACGTGAAGCAGCTGCTGCATTGGTACAGCAAGAGGAACAGGGGACACAGGAGAACCAAACGTCAAACTTCCGTCCCGCAGCAGGAGTCACGGGCTTCCTCTGTGGGCAGAGA